TCAGATGTGGGAGAGAGAATGATGTCCTCCAAAATGTCATAATCCCATGTGGTAGACAGAATATTTTTATTTCTACCAACAGCCAAAATTCTGTTTCTCACAGGTAAAAGACTAAGACCCAGTGAAAAAAATTAACCTGTAAATACAGTGATATAGTTGGGTTATAAGTAAAAGGCATCCAAGAAAAGATATAAGTGTGGCCACAGAATGTTCATAAACTCAGTCCTCATTATCAGTCATAGTGGGAGAAAGCTTTGTCTGGTACTATAGACAAAAACTATATAATCCTACTTAACTACTTTTTAAAAATCCCTTGGGCTCTGTGAGTTATGTCAATGATGAGAGTCCCTTTATTATTATTGTTTTTTGAGATAGAGTTTCACAGTGTCACCCTCGGTAGAGTGCTGTGGCATCACAGCTCACAGCAACTTCAAACTCTTGAGTTTAAGTGATTTCTCTTGCCTCAGCCTCCCAAGTAGCTGGGACTATAGGCGCTGACCACAACGCCCAGCTATTTTTCAGTTGTAGTTCTTATTGTTGTTCAGCAGGCCCAGGCTGGGCTCGAACCCACCAGCCTGGGTGTATGTGGCTGGCGACTTACTCACTGAGCTACGGGCACCGAGCTGACAAGAGTGTATTCCTGGTTTACCTCTTTTTTTTTTGAGACACAGTCTCACTTTGTCACTCTCTATAAAGTGTTCTGGAGTAACAGCTCACAGCAACCTCAAACTCCTGGGTTCAAATGGTCCTCCTGCCTCAGCCTCCCAAGTAGCTAGGAGTACAGGCACCTGCTGCCACACCCAGCTAGTTTTTCTATTTGTAGTAGAGATGGGGTCTCACTCTTGCTTGGGCTGGTCTGCAACTCCTGATTCAAGGGATCCACCTGCTTCGGCCTCCCAGAGTACTGGGGTTACCGGAGTGAGCCACCATGCCCCGGGGTGGTTTTCATTTTTATTTTTTTTAAGACTTGGAGTTGTTCCTCTCCACAGAAATCTTTAGTAAAAGGTGAAAGATTTACATGATCAGAAAAGAAACCAGAGAATTGGTTTGCCCTATTTTTTAAGTCTTGCTATTTTGTCCAGTATGGCATCCATACGTGTAGCTAGCCTAAAACTCTGACCAAAGAACAAGACATACAGAAAGACATAAATCAATCCCCAGTCACGGTCTCTGAGAATATTAGAATGATACCTCAACTGACTTCCATTTTGTCTTAAAATGAAGGATTCATTCTCGTGGGTAGGACCGAACTGCTTGAGCAGAAACAGAGCACTTGGGTTTAAGACATTATCCTGTTCTGACCGCCTCCAACACACCTGCTCTGTGCAGGACAGATCCTTGACATGTTGGACAAGGAAGGTTTGACCAACAATACCCTGGTTTATTTCACATCGGACAACGGAGGGTCTTTGGAGTCTCAACTTGGAAATAACCAGTATGGCGGATGGAACGGGATTTACAAAGGTAAGGCTGGGACGGTCCCAGATGTGGACCTCACAGATTCCTCTCTTCCCTGCAATTCCCACCAGTTCCTTGGGAACAGGGCCGCCCAGTCCAGGAGAATAAATATGGCTGCCCAAAGACTTTGGTTTTTCCTATGCAAGGCAAAAATTATCCTTTCTCATGCTGAGCCATTAAGTGTTTTTTTAGTAGACTCTCAGGGTTGTGAGGCCAGCATCACTATTTATTTTATTTATGTATTTATTTATTTATTTATTTATTTTTGAGACAGAGCCTCAAGGTGTCCCCCTGGGTAGAGTGCCAAGGCATCACAGCTCACAGCAACCTCCAACTCCTGGGCTCAAGCGAGTCTCCTGCCTCAGCATCCCAAGTAGCTGGGACTCCAGGTGCCCACCACAACACCTGGCTATTTTTTGGTTGCAGCCGTCATTGTTGTTTGGCGGGCCTGGGCTGGATTCGAACCTGCCACCTTAGGTGTATGTGGCTGGTGCCTTTAGCCACTTGAGCCATAGGCGCCGAGCCCACCATCACTATTTAGCTTGATAACACTTCTGTCAGCATAGGAGGAAGTCCTGTTATCTGTGCAGTCACCCCTATTCCACTGCGACCAACTATTTCATGCAAATAGTATCAGATGGTACGTGGATTTTTGCTGAGTCACTTGTTCTCTCTGCCTCTGCCTCCGCCTCCATGAGGCTTCTTGTTGGTGTCTGTCATTTAAGGGCTCACCTTAAATCCAGCCATCCTAACCCACACTCAGGTCAATAAAAGAATATAAAATCTCACCTCTGTGAGGGGGAACTGTGTGATGTAATTTGGTTACAACACAGAGACAGGGAGACACAGAGAAACTTAAAACTAGCAAAACTCAGCATGTTGCTCTGATTGTTAATGTGTTTTCTTTCTTTTTTTTCTTTTTCTGTTTTTGCTTAAACTCAGGAGGAAAAGGCATGGGCGGCTGGGAAGGTGGGATCCACGTGCCGGGGATATTCCGTTGGCCCGGGGTGCTGCCGGCCGGCCGGGTCATCAATGAGCCCACGAGCCTGATGGATGTTTTCCCGACCATGGTGCAGCTGGGTGGTGGCCAGGTGCCCCAGGACAGGTGCGGAAACAAGCAATTAGGCTTTGTGTACAGACAATAACATTTAAGGGAAATGATACTGTCATTTTAGCACTCTCACAAAGCATCCAAGAAATCTGAGTTTGGGAGAACACTCCTGGTTCTATTATTCTGTGCTGGGATCAAATGTTGCTTTTGTTTTATACACAAAATGCCTGATTCTCTCTTCCCAGCTCTTAAGTGGAGCGTATTTTATTATGAGAGCATATATCATTATTATAAATATTAATATAAATTATAATTATTAATTATAAATAAGCATTTATTATAAATAATAATAATTATTATAGTATTCTTATATAGAATACTATGTTACTATATATTCAGAATACAGAATATATAGGAATATAGAATACAGTATTCCTATATAGAATTCCTATATAGGATACTATATAATACTATAGGATACTATATACTATATAGAATTCCTATATAGGATACTATATAATACTATAGGATACTATATACTATATAGAATTCCTATATAGGATACTATATAATACTATATAATACTATAGGATACTATATAATACTATAATTATTCCTATAGGAATAATA